TACAGAAAAGGGGATGAGGATAGCCTCATGGAGAAGATCTCCAAGCTCAACATCCACTCTATCATCAAGAAATCCAACCGTGTGAGCAGCCACCTCAAGCATCTCACAGGCTTTGCACCCCAGGTACTGTGCACCAGGTGCACTTACACCCTGCAGTGCTTCTCCAGAGGTATCTGCTGTCCCTCCACACCCCTTCCCCTCGTGCAGCTCTGATCCAGGCCACTGAGGCAGAGTGAGCTTAGGGTCTGAACCACCCACCTTTGCTGTCCAGCTTGTGGGCAGGAGGACCCCACATCTTGCAGTCTGGGAGGTGCTGACTCCTGCATTGCCTCCCTTGAGACACTTTCTCTCACAGCTAAAGGATGAAGCCTTTGAAGAGACAGAGAAGAACTTCCGGATGCAGGAGCGTCTGATCAAGTCCTTCATCCGGGATCTTTCCCTGTACCTGCAGCATGTCCGGGTGAGCCAGTCTGGGTGTGATGCCAAGCCTGTGGGGCTCGCCATGCACTGCCCCTCCTGTCTGCATGGTGTGACCCTGCACTACCTCTGTCCACAGTTCCTGCCTCAGCTCTTTTGGGGCTGGGTGGTAGGGGCTACCCTGGGAGCCCCTTCTGGGCGGGAAGTATGGCTCAGCTGTGTCTCCCTGGTGCAGGAGTCAGCTTGTATGAAGGCACTGGCAGCAGGGAGCATGTGGGACCTGTGCACGGAGAAGGGAAGTGGGGACTTGGACCAGTTCCAGAAAGTGAATCGTCTCATCAGCGACCAGCTCTTCTCCAGCTTTGTGAGTGAGGCTGTGCCCCTTTGAGGCCCACCCTGCAGACCCTGGTGGTCTGCTGCAGATGGGCAGGCTCTGGGAGGCTGCAGGGAGGGTAATCTGGGAGAGCTGTGAGCATTCCTGCTCAGCTCTGCCCACCTGAGAGCTTTGATGCCTGGCAGTTTAGGGCTGTGCCTGTTAGATACATATTTTTTCAGCCCTACCTGAAATGCTACAGCCCTTTATGCTAGTGGTTCAGTACTTCGCATGGAGTTACTCGCAGTTATATAAGATTATAGAATAATTGCTGTTGGAAGGGACCTCTGGAGCTCCAGAGTGCCACCAGGAGACAGTTACTATACTGTCCAGGGGAGGTTGTGTGCTGGACTGGGAGCTGCTGGTGTTCACAGTGGGAGAGAGCACCTTGTCTGACCTTCTCACTGCACCCTTGCCCACCAGAAAGAGCGGACGGAGCGGCTGGTGAGCTCGCCCCTGAGCCAGCTGCTGAGCATGTTTGCGGGGCCCCACAAGCTGGTGCAGAAACGCTTCGACAAACTCCTCGACTTCCACAACTGCACCGAGCGAGCGGAGAAGCTGAAGGACAAGCGAACGCTGGAGGAGCTGCAGTCAGCCCGCAACAACTACGAGGCCTTGAATGCTCAGCTGCTGGACGAGCTGCCCAAGTTCCTGCGCTTTGCCAAGGAGCTGTTTGCCAGCTGCGTGCGGGGCTATGCCGAAGCACACTGCGACTTCGTGCGCCTGGCCCTGGAGGAGCTCAGACCCCTGCTGTCGGTGCGTTCATGCAGTGCAGGCAGCACCCTGGGCTCAGAGCAGCACTAAACAGAGCAGAATTTGTCCCTGAGCCTCACAAGGACCTGTCACATCCTGGGGGAAGCTGCTACTGCGGTTTCAGGCCACAAGTGACTTTTGGAGGGCTCCTGTGGGATGGTGTCGGGGCAGGGATTGCAGGGTTATGTTGTAATTGTGTGTAGAAGGCTCTTAGAACAGTGTCAGGAGAACATTCACCTGGGAGAATCTCAGTCACAAGTTTGAGGATCACTTAGAACTGAGTCCAGACAGGACTGCAAACCTGGGCCTGATGCAAGTCACAGGCAGGATTCAGACACCTGCCATGGTCTACGCTGTAGCTCTGGGCCACTTTTCCCAGCAGCTGTCGCCTAACCAGGATCTCTGACTTTGCTCTGGTTCCAGTTGCTGAAGGTGTCTGGCAGGGAAGGGAACCTCATTGCCATCTTCCAGGATGAGCACAGTCGAGTCCTCCAGCAGCTCCAGGCCTTCACCTTCTTCCCAGAGTCCCAGGCAGCTCCCAAGAAGACTTTTGAAAGGAAAAGCATGGAACGGCAGTCTGCCCGGCGGCAGCCCCTTGTTGGCTTGGTGAGTTCCCTCTGCCTGGTGTCAGGGCTTGCAGAGCCCAGGACAGCCACTCACACCTGCGTTGTTCCTCTGTAGCCAACCCACCTCCTGCAGTCAGATGATGTCCGAGCTGCCCTCCTGGCCCGCTATCCCCCAGAGAGTCTCTTCCAGGCAGAGCGCAATTTCAATGCTGCCCAAGACCTGGATGTCTCCCTGTTGGAAGGAGACATTGTGGGCGTCATCAAGAAGAAGGACCCCATGGGCAGCCAGAATCGTTGGCTCATAGACAATGGGGGTAGGTGGCTGTTCCGTGCCCTTGGTACTTGCTGTGAGTCCCCTCCTCTGCTCTCTGTGTTCCCCAATCTGACCTACCTTCCTCTCCCTCTCTGCAGTGACGAAAGGCTTTGTGTACAGCTCCTTTCTCAAGCCCTACAACCCCCGCCGCAGCCAGTCAGACGTCTCTGTGGGCAGCCACTCTTCCAACGAGTCGGAGCACAGCAGCTCCTCTCCCCAAAGCAACGCCACCCTGACCTTCAGCCCCAGTGGGGCGGCCGTCGCCTTCACTCAGAAACCCTTGCAGCAGGACTCTGTCTCCCCATCAGATGTGTACCCGTGCTCACAGCCCCCACTGGAGGTGGACTCCCCCTCTCTGCCCCAGCTTGGCTCTGGTGACAGGACAGCCCCACTGGTTGGTACAGGGAGATCTCAGCACCGCTACAGCCGCCCTGAGCTGGGCAGCAGCCCCAGCTCTCGCAACGGGCACCCCACCAAAGCACATCTCAGGCCCCCACCCTCGGTGGAGGACAGAGACTCTGGGCTGGAGAACAGCGAGTCAGAGGGCAACCAGGTGAGTCTTCAGCCACCCTCATGGGGCTGGGGATGCCAAGGGCTAATTGCTTTGTTTGGCTGGGGACTGAATCATCCTCCTGCCTGGAAGTGACCAAGAAGCTATAGGAGATGGGGTTTGAGACCTTTTCTTCCGATGACAGAGGTGCAGAGACAGAGAACCAGGCTGCAACTAGGGGTGGGAAAAGGCCACGATGAGGCCAGGGCTGTCACTGGGGAGGACAAAAGCCCACACATCCTATGCACTGTGAGATTAAGGCAGTGTGGTGTGACCATCTAACTGATGCTCTCTCCTTGTCTGGCAGGTCTACTATGCTCTGTACACCTTCAAGGGCCGAAACACCAATGAGCTGAGTGTGTCAGCTAACCAGAGACTCAGGATCCTGCAGTTTGAGGATATCACAGGCAATCAGGAGTGGTGGCTGGCTGAGGCCCACGGGAAGCAGGGCTATGTCCCCTCAAGTTACATCCGGAAGACAGAGTACACGTGAGGCAGCAGACAGAGCCTGCACCCCATGCCTTGTTCCTGCTGGGACTGCTAGGATCTGGGGGAGGCTGGCCAGCCCTCCAGGCCCCACTGCTCGTCCTTAAGGCTATGCCTCTTACAGCTGTGCAGTGTTCCCAAACACTGGCTGCCATTTCCCCTTCAGGGGAGGAAGAAAGGTGGGCTGACCAGGTAGGCAGGAGCAGGCAGCTTGTGTGAGGGCAGGGGTGAGTTTACCTCTGAGATGTGTTTGAGTTTCCTGTGTCCAGCCAGGAGCAGGGAAGCAAAGCTTGGGGCTGTTGCCTGCCCAAAGGTAGGGCTTGACTCAGGTTGAGGAACTGCTGTGGATTTAAATTGTGGAAGGCTAATGCTGAGTTTCTGGAGATTGTCTTTAGTCATGTAGTATTAAAAGCAACCCAGACTTTGTGAATATGCTCCCTGTGCAGCAGGAACCTGGTCTCGCCTGTCTCTGCAGGACTCAGGGTGGGATATTTACACTCTGCCTGAGGAAGCAACTCTGAAGTTTGCTGGGAGTAATTGAGCTCTTGGGAGCACCTGGGATGGGTATGGCCTCTGAAACCCTCACAACAAAGCCCCCAGCAGGTGCCTTCTCCCTGTGCTTGGTTTCCTGGGGGCTTGACCTTTCCAAGGTCTTCTGCTGCCTGCAGCCATCAGGTTCTTGTGTGCCAGGTGCCCCAGAAGCCCAGAACACCATACCCTTGTCAGCACATTACTGGCTGTGCCCAGGACCCATCTTTGTGCTGACATGTCCACCTGGCTGCTCTGGGCTGGGGCAGAGAAGGTAAAGCCCAAGCTGTCCTCCAGCCTGTTTTTTGGGGTATGTGACAAGAATTGCCTCACCTGTAGTTTCCTGCATGGCATTAGAGAGGGTGCTGACATTCTGGAGTGGCAGGACCATCTCTGGGAGGCCTGTGGTACCTTTTGCTGGGTTGGTGTGTGATACTGCTGCTGCTACATCCTGAAGGGAAGAGGTTCCCTTCATGAGGCAATGTTTGTATCCCCTGTACTGCTGCTCTGCAAATAAAGATTTGCCCTTGTGTATAGAAGGTGCCTTTGTAAGTACTGGGAGACCTGGGAGGAGCATCTTGCAAGTGGTGCAGCCTTCATGCAGACCTTACAGGGCCAGGAAAAACATTTCCCTTTCAGTGGGGTCCAGCATTCTAGTGTCCTGATGTTTGTGCCAGCTGCAGCTCAGGCACGAGGAAACCCTCACAGGAACCTTCTTTATTAAGATGAAGTGGTTGCACTGCCCTCTTCCCCCCAGCTGTGTGTTACATGATTCTGGGGTTCCAGGGCAGTAGGGGCTGGTGGGGTGAATGTTTGCCCTGCTCTAAGTGGGCACCTGCTCCTTGCAGGTGGAGGTCTGGCCCAAGAACAGAGGCAAGGGTTTGTCAACAATAACCACCTACTTTGTGTGTGCATGGCTGTATACAGATGTGTGCTTGCTGCTCTCCAGCTTGTCTCCACCACCATCAGAAATTTGTAGTGTGGAACCACAGCCCAAAATCTGCCCCACAAGTCGTTGTGATAACCTCAGGGAAGGGCTCATTTATTTGCAATACAATCAAAGGGAGTAGAAGCCACAGGGAAGGCAGGCAAGGCAGTCCTGGTTTTGCTACAGCATAGTATCCTTGCATGAGTAGAGCTGTCCCTCTGGATTTGGACTGCCCAGCTCTGTGTAACTTCTGTTGGCAGCTCTCCCCACTCAAGCACTAGCCAGGTTTAAAGCTAAACCGAGGCTTACACCAGCCTTGGAGTTGGAAGACTACAGTTACCAAAAGTAAATAAATTATAACATTCATTCTTAGATTAAACTGTAAATTTAATTCCATAATGCTAAAGCATCTCTAAGGTAGATGCACCTGGCATGGTGAAGTACAAAAACTAAGACCACCCCCACTGGAGGTCATGATCTCCCTGCCTGGCAGATAGCTTTGCCCCTGTATCCTGAAATAAATTATATAGCTCCAGACCCTTGTGTGCACAGCAGGCAGGATGTGGTAGCAAGGTTAACAGCTCACTCGAGTCCAGATATTCTGTCTCTGGACAGCCAGAGAAGCCACTCTCTTTGCTTCCCCGCTGCAGAGGCCAATTCCTGGGCAGCTTGGCTTGGGAGACACCAGTGCTTGCTGGGTGAGTGGCACAGGAGGAGCTGTCTCACACCCCAGGCCCGTGCAGCACTCTGCCTACAGGGCAGTGGTTTCTGCAATGGTGATGCCGGCGTCCTTTGCCATCGCAGAGAAGGTGCCCTGCTTCATGAGCAGTTCCTGAGGGCTGTCGAATTCCACAATCTGCCCAGCATGCAGCACCATCACCCTGGCAGAAGGGAACAAGAAGGCCTCAATTCCCAGGATCCGAGTGGATAGCATTGCTGGTGCCAGCACTGCAGGCCCACTGACCCTCACTCCTCCTAAGCCACTTTATGTGGTTCTCCTCTCAGCAGTGGTGAGGGCACAGCCCTCCTCCCTACGTTATGGGTCAACAGCAAATGCCTCTATGGTCTGTTGCTGTAAAGAAGGATCCCAAAAAATGTTTCTCCCACAAAGACATCACTACTGCACGGGCATCCTTACTGTTCTCTTCACCACTATGTATTACTGCCCCAGGCTCTGTATCCACCCCTGCCCCTCTGGCTGCATTCTTGTTTCCACTGCTATCCACCTCTCACTCCTTGGAATCCAGATCCCCATCCCCTTTGCCCCGTTGTCCATGGTACCTGTTACTGTCCATGATGGTGTGGAGGCGATGGGCAATAGTAAGGACAGTGCAGTCTGCAAACTCATTCCGGATTGTTGTCTGGATTAAATTATCAGTTTCCAGATCTACGGCTGCTGTTGCCTCATCCAGGATGAGGATCTTGGCTTTGCGGAGAAGGGCCCGGGCCAGGCACACCAGCTGCCTCTGCCCAACACTGGGATGACACGAAGAACATGAGTTACTACACTGACACTAGCAGACCTTCTGCAAGCCTACTGTGTCTCGCTGCTCTGACCCCAACACTGTCCCTGGCCTTTCCTCGCTGACCATCTGCCACTCTGAGCACCACGTCCCTCACCATCTTATTCTCTGGGCCACCACAGAAGGGTTGGCTCACACTAGCTCCCTAACAGCCCTGACTCCTCAGCCATTTTCTTCCACCTTCACTTCCCAGAAGCTTCTGTGCATCATCCCTGGACAGCCACTTTTCTGGAGGCTGCTGTTCCAGGCTGGTCCCTGGGATCTAGAGAAGGGAGGGGAGGTGGGCCTGCATCTGCTCCTCTGCTTACCTCAAGTTCTCCCCTCCCTCGCTCACGAGATGCAGCAGCCCCTCAGGAAGGCCTTGCACATATGTCTTCAGATGAGCCAGCTCCAGGGCCTTCCAGACTTCCTCATCTGAGTACTGGTCAAAGGGGTCCAGGTTCATCCGCAAGGTTCCAGTGAAGAGCACAGGGTCCTGCCAGGGACAGCACCGTGTTCAGCCCCCCCACAACCATTTAGCAGGGGCAATGTCTCCTGGCCTCCACATGTGGCCACATCCTGCTCACACCACTGCCTGCAGCTGGCAAGGGATGTGGTGACAGCCTGCTCCACAGCACCCAGGGACACACTGAGGGGGGCCATGCAGCAGTGGGATGTGGAAAGGTGGGGATCAGCTCACCTGGGGGATGATGGTGAGGTTGTTGCGCAGGTCATGGAGGCCAATTGTTGCTATATCCACATCATCAATGATGATCTTCCCTCCAGCCGCCTCCAGCACCCGGAACAGGCAGTTGGTGAGAGAGGATTTTCCAGCCCCAGTCCGGCCTACAACCCCAACCTGTGGAAGCAGCTTTTTAGACCAGCTGACAGGGCTGTAGACAACAGGGCAGATGATCTGCATCTTGGTCTGGTGGGCCTTCCTGCCCTTACCATCACCCAAGACTGTCTACTTTAGCTCCTTTCCTGCAGCTCAAGTCCCCAGGAGCCACATCCCATCACCATCCCACCCCAGCACATGGACTGAAGCTGAGAAGAAACAACTTTAACAGATTTTCTGTAAAGAGTATAGTGAGGGCAGAGGCACCTTCTCAGTGCTCCCAATATTACAGGTGATCCCCTGAAGAACCAGGTCCAGTTCAGGTCGGTAGCGAACTTGGTAGTCAACAAACTGGATCTCGCCTCTGCTGGGCCAGCCACGTGGTGGACGATTTTTGGTCACCCATGGAGCCTGAGAGGGAACAGGAGCATTAGGAGGGTCCACTCTGCGATGCTGACTAGCACCAAGCTGTGCAGCAGGTGCTTGCCCAGACCCTGGGTTCCTTACCTCATTCTTCACCTTCATATACTCATGGACCCGCTCCACAGCCACGATGTTGGTCTCCAGTTCTGAAGATGTCCGCACCAGCCAGTTCAGTGTCTGGGTCACCTGCATGGCACAATCAGAGGATGCAGAGCTCAGTGGCACCCAGGAACAGCCACCTCCCACCTCAGCCCAGAAGATTATCCTGGGCACAAGCATACCTTGCCTGGCCCCTAATTCTCCACTGCTGAGACACAGCCCACCTCTCCCCAGTCCTTCAAAAAATTTGCTGCAGCATCTCTGATCCACAACAGGGCTATATTCCTCCCCATGCCAGCAAGTATCCCACTCACACTGGGTTGGATATCTGCTTCCCTGGCTCTATAGCCACTCCCCAGGTGATAGGGCACCCCAGATAATCCCATTTCCATGGATCAGAACTGGTGGCAGGGCAGCATCCTGCTGCCAGCCCAGAGCTCCCAGAGACAGCCCTGTCTTGGAATGAGAAAATGCTTTCAGTGACTCACATTGAGAGCAGAGGAGACAGAAAGCCCCACGATGCCACCCTCTAAAGTGCCCTTTGCAATCACTGCCAGAAGTGCAGAGAAGAAGACCACCAGGCTCCCAACAAACTCCAGACGGATGGCCAGCCACCTGCACCAGGAGAGGACAGATGAAGGGCAGTGAGAGGCAGGGAGGCATCTGCCTATGCCCAACACAGAGCCCACCAGTAATAGCAGCACTGCACCAGCATCACTCACACCCAGCCATGAGCCCAGTGCTGTGCACATGGCACACACTGGTACATGTACACATTGGTCATTTGTGGCCAGTTCTGCAAGCAGGTTCATTTATGTCAGTCCATGTCTCACACATAACCTCCTGTGCTGGTAATGCTATGTATCAGAAGAGCCCCAACCATTCAACCCTCACACACCCAAATAATTTACTAGTAAGATTCAAACCCAGAAAGTGTGCACATCGCACTCCCCACTGGGCCTGGAGGATCACTCTCTTCCCAAAACTCACCAAGAGCATCTCAGCCCTTGACTGTGCAGCTCACCCTGCCCAGCCTCTCGACACTTTAAGGGGGCATATTCTGGCTTTCAAAATCACCCTAAAACGTTCCATTGCCACAGATGATGCCCCTATCCTAAACTACACACACAGACTCTCAATGCTGAGACCAAGAGGGAGGATTGCAGGACCCCAGGGACCTCCCTCAGGACCCAGAAACCCCTGGGCAGAAGAGCTGCAGGCTGTGCCGTGGCATAAGTGGTAAAATTCACCTATTTGATATTATCCAGGAATAAACACTCTTCTGATTTATGTCCATGATGATCTCATTATGCTTCAGGAACCGTTCTTGGTGTCCATAGGCCCGGATCACAGAAAGGCCTGACACTGTCTCACCAAAGTGGGAGTAGATGGGAGACCTGGTGACAGAGTCCAGACGCCTTAGCTGGCGTGATGTGGAGATATAGAAGCGCTGAAACAAGCGACACAGCTTGGTTAGCAACACAAAGCCCAGCAGCCACGAAGATACTGCTCTCAGCAGGGCAGAAGCTTCACTTAAGGCCCAGTTACTCACCAGCACAAAATAGTAGAAGATGCTCAAGGGAACGATAACAACAGCGAAGAATGGAGTGGCCAGGCAGATCACGATCAGTGTGCTAATGATGCCCATGAAACAGGAGAGCCAGCTGCGGAAGGACGTGGGAATGGTCTCATCTACCGTGAAGATGTCCTGGAGCATATAAAAAAGTATAGAGAAGCAGTCAGTGACCCCAGAGAGAAGGAGAAGCCCAAAGGCCGCATACATAGGGTTCCTATACATTCCTGTGGTAACACAGTGCCAGACATTTGTAAAAATATCAGATGATCCTGAATTGGTGTTATGATCACAACCTCATTTAAGGCCACAGTTTTTAGCTTGGGAACAGCTGAATTAACAGAGAAAGTTCCTATAATATTCCCCTGTTACACGGACCAGCTTTAAGAACTGCATCTTCATCAGGACTTAGGATGCAGGAGCAGTAATTGAAACTGAAGAGGGACAGGGCAAACTCCAGGTCCATGCAGGTGCACCCAGGTCTACAGCTGGTCCTCATCCATCTCCTAGCCAGGCACCACATACTCCCTCAACTCAGTGTAAACCCAGGCCCATAGACTTAATTTTAAGAGAAATTTTTATTCCCAAAAATCAAGAGATGGTACCAAAGGAAGAAGTGGAGTAGCAGCACACTTGAAATTACCTGTTTGTATTTTCCCTCCTTTCTCATTTTCTCTTTGTTTTTGACCTTCACTTAGATAGAAAAGACTGTAGGTTTTGCTGGACATCTATAGCCAGAACGAGTTCTCACTGTGGGACCTGAGCTCTAGGCTCTTACCTCCCTTAATGATCTACTATGGACTCTCTTCTGTTTCCCCACATCTTTCTTGCCCAGGTGACCCCAAACAGGACACAGTATCCAGGTGTAAAAGTTCCTCAGCACTGAGCAGAGGAGATAACAGCTTCCTATGATTTGTCACACTGTCTTTCTAGTACAGCCCAGGATGTAGTTTGGCTCATGGTCAGCCTTGCACCATGTCCTCCTTGTCCCTTCCTGGCCCTTTCCTGGGCTCAGCTGTGCAGTGCTCAACCAGAGCAGAGTTACGCCACTACCCAACACACTGCAGATGTGGAGGAACAAACACCTTCTCTGTGTTGGGGGTGTTCTCTTACCTTGGCAAACCGATTGACGATGCGGCCGACGGGGGTGGTGTCGAAGAAGCTCATGGGAGCGCGCAGGATGTTGCTGAGCAGCTGCTGGTGCATGATGCGGGAGGCTTGCATGGAGCCCCAGACAGACAGCACGGTTGCAAAGAGCAGGAAGAGAGCTACAAGGAGAGCACAGGGGTGTCACCAGCTGTGGGTGACACTGGCCCCAGGCACCCTTTGGCTTGATGGACACACCAAGCAGCACCAAGCCAGCAGCAAGCCACTGGGATAATTCTGCATCTACCTTCTAGGGAGGCCTCAGCAACTGTGTCTCAGCACAGGGGAGGAACACTAACTCTATTGGAAAGCCTTGGGCCCCAGCATTATGTCTAATCTGATTAAGGAAAATGATCTTAAACTGAGGGGGCAATATAGACTTGGGGCATTTTATGTTGCTTTCAGACTGGTGTGTCCACAATTCAGCCACAAGCTGGAAGGAAGGCAGCAGCAGGCAAATGAACAAAATGCTGGGTCCCCTGCTCCTTACTGCACTGCTGGCTGCAGGCCTTGCAAGTCATATCCCTCCTGGACCACACAAATGAGGTGAGTGGGAACTGCTGTCCTCCCACACTGACCTTGTGAGAAGCCCAGTGCCCCAAAGACACCAATCCGCATGTCCCGTAGGTGCGTGGGATAGGTCTGGTTCTGATAGCGCACTGAATCATCAGTCCAGTCACTGAGCCACAGGTTGGTCCCCACGTAGGCGACGTACTGTCCAACATAGCACATGACAGTCCAGAAGGAAAGGCACCAGCCAACAGCACGCAGGTACCGCATGTACATGGAGAACTTCACCTGTGGGCCAATTGAACCCATCAGAATGCAGGCAATGACACCCAGCACAGCCTTGGGATTCCACCATGCTGCCCACAGTGCTCTCCCCTCCACCACCCCACCACCAGTCCCAGGCAACTCTGCCTCCTTCGTGTCTCTTGGCTGTGGTGCCGCCACAGCCAGCCTACACCAGCTTCTCTGAGCCACAGTCAGGGTCTGGCAGCACCTAGCCAGGGCAGCACAGTGCTTCATCCCTCCATCCTCCTCACCCTGCCAGTTTCCACAGCTTCTTTCTCGATCAGTTTCTGTCCCTTCAGCTTCTTTGGGGGCTCCTCCTGGGCCTTCTTCTGGGAGCTGGTGCTCTTTTTACTGAGGCTGCGGGGAGGTGATGAGTACTATTAGTCACAGGATGTTGGATTGGTCTTAATCTCCTGAGGGTCCATCCCTGTGCTGCACTGAGTCTTCTTCCACAGTGGTGGAGTCCTTTGGAAAATAATGTCCTAAATGGGGCAGCTTTGAGTGAGCCTTGTGGAAGCACTGGCCACGTACAGCCATAAGCATTCCCAAAAGCAGAACTAGCCATCAGCACGAGTTTCAGGGAAGACTCCAGACTAAGGCTGTGGCACACTAGTGTGAGTAAAGGCAAAATCAGATGCTCCTGACCCAGAGAAGCTTGTGGTAGGAGCAGGCAGGGAGGCTCCCAGCTGGAACTCCCTGGGAAGCCTCCAGATCCCAAGGGAGCAGTGCATGTGGCAGGGGAAAGAGCTGAGAGCTCAGGTCATGTCCCACCTGCGACTCAGTTTTCTCCGATGGATGCTGGCCTCTCTCCTCAGCGTCATAGTCACCACATCATCAGAGCGCTCATCCAGGCAAGGATCAACATCTTCATCAGCCTCCTCTTCATCCACAGCTAAAGCAACAGCTACAGGGATGAAGGAAGGTAGGGTAAGGCACTGAGGAAAGAGCAGATCCCATACACCACACCTCTGCTGCACTCAGCTCCATGGCCTAGGCCTAGGCTGTGTCCTACCACCATATATCACACCTTCTCCAACTTTGCTGCAAGACCAGCACAGCAGGAAGAGGAAGAAATACGTTGTGCTGGAGGGAGACCTGACAGGCAACATAGGGCTAAAGGCCTGCACGGAGGCAATCTCTGCTGCTGACTTATCCCTGCACCACTGGCAGGACCTCAAGCAAAGATTTGTGCTAGTTTAGTAGGTGCAAGATCCAGTTGGTCACATCAGTCCAGCTCAGAAGCATCTCCTTGAGCAGGTGGAGATGAGCCTGTGAAGACATACAGGAATAGCCAGGATGCAGCTGGACAACTGGGCTGAGCCCTGACAGGGTAAGCACCCACCTGACCTGACAACACCCACAGCACTGGGGGACATGATAAAGATGAAATATTGTCCAGTGGGATGTTTAGAACAAATCAAAGGATCTTTCTGACCCCAGAATCACAAAAATATGGAGCCTATTGCCACATAAGATTTTGAGACCCTAATAAATGGAGTAAAAAAATTAAACAGGTCCTGTGCTGGATGTTCAACGTAATGCCTGAATGCAAATCTAAGTCAGGAAGTTATTGAGCTGCTGATTGCCAGAAGCTGAGAAGGATTCATAGTAGCCACCATTGGTGCCTGGACTGGATAGGGCCAGGTCAGGCTGATAAATCAGATCTTCATATCCCCAAGATACACGCACAGCCACTCTAACTGCCACAGCCCCACTGTGTTCCAAGTACCTGCAGTATTTTCCTCTGAAACATCCTCTTCCTGGTTTCCATACAAGTTCAGGAACTGGGAAAAGGCCCCCTTGTTTGCAAGCAGAGTGCTGTAGGAGCCATGCTCAGACACTGCCCCTGATGCCAGCACCACGATGTTATCAACCTCGGGCAGGAAACTGATACTATGCGTCACCAAGATCCGTGTCTGCAACAAAGGGTTGCAGGGTAGTGATCATCAGAGCACCCCTCATCCCTAGCCATGGGTCTGCAGGCTCTCCATCTCCCACTTGGGGACTTGTCTGCTTATCAATGCCTGGTTGTGAGGACACAGGATATCCTCTCTGGGGACTCCTGAGGCCTCTCCTGCCTGCTGCAGCCCCATGTGAAAGCTACAGGATTCCTGTCTGTCCCAGGCAAGTAACCTCAGACTTCCTTGGATTGCTAACACCGTGCCTGTGCCACTCATGCCTGGCTGGGTGCTGGTTTGCAGGGTATGGGTGCTCACCTTCTTTTTCAGGAGCCCTTTTGGCCCCAGCACGTGCTCGAAGAGGTACTTGCCCACGTGGGCATCCACAGCAGACAGCGGATCGTCCAGGATGTAGATGTCTGCATCGCTGTACACCGCCCTGGCCAGGCTGACCCGCTGCTTCTGGCCTCCACTCAGGTTGATTCCCTGGAAGGGAAGAACCTCCCTGGTCATGGAGCTGGCACAGGGCAACTGCTCTGACCTCTGCTGCAGGTGCTATTGGAAACCCGTAGTGCCCAGGGCTGATACCTTCTCTCCAATCTCTGTCTGGTCACCTGCAGGCAGCAATTCCAGGTCTGGAAGGAGGGCGCAGGCCTTGATGACCTTCTGATATCTGGCTTCATCCAGTTCTGACCCGAAAATGATGTTGTCTTTCAGTGTGGCATTCTGGATCCAGGCCTGCTGGGGGACATAGGCCAGGGAGCCCTGGAAGGACAGACAAGAAGAGCTACCTGTCAGAGATCAGCCTGAGCACTGACACCTCCTGCAGCCTGTCCTTGCCCTGAGCCACCACTCTGCGACAGTCCTGCTCTACTTTCCTGCTGAGCTCCCAGGCAGCCCCAAGCCCCGTGCACCAGCTGGCTCCTCTCACCTGGATGTTGATGTGTCCCTTGATATTCTCCATCTCCCCGAGCATGGCTGACACCAGCGAAGATTTGCCTGAGCCCACAGGCCCCACCACAGCCACCAGGCTTCCAGGTGTGATGTCCAGGGTGACACTGCAAAGACACAAGGGCTGAGGAAGGAGCACTGCCAGATCACCTGTCAGTTCCTGTGTGGGACTAGCACAGAGCAGTGTCTCTGGGACACTCATGTCTAGCAGCACTGTGAGAGGTGATTGCCCTCCCCAACTAATAACACAGAAAGCCTCCCCCTCCCCAGCCCTCTGCCCCTGACATGGCAGAGCACTCACTCTCTTATGGCAGCGTTGCTGTCCTGCTCCCAGGCAAAGGTGGCATCCGAGAAACGCACAGCATTGCCTGTCAGAGAGAGATGTCCCTCAGAGTGGGGAAAGCCCAGGGCTGCACCAGCCTGAGACCCACAGGGATCAATCTGGAGGTTCACCTGCCTTCAATGGGGTTGTGGTGGATAGCTGAGGTGTCCAGGTCGCCTCCACTCAGGTAGCGCTCCAGCCTCGCAGTTGACACATTGGTCTGCCATGGTAGAAAGAGGATGAGGATGGCACATGGGCATGGGGCACAGCTGGGTGGGCTGGCAGGAGCCCCATAAGCAGAGCACCACATCACAGCTCCCACCCAACCTCTGGGCCCCAAACCTGTGTTATGCATGTGAGTCCTGTCCCACCCCACTGCCAGCAGAGTCCTGTGCACTGACCCTGGGGGTTCATCACACACCTGAGCCCCATATGCCGGTTTGGACAGAGGTCATAGGACCCCCCTACATGCCCTGCCCTCTGTGAGGCCTGACCTGCACCAGGGAGGAGATGACCATGGGCAGCATGGCCATGGGGAAGCGCAGCACATTGAAAAGGGAGATGGCAGTGAAGGCCTTCTGTGCATCCAAGATGTTGTTCTCATCCACAAGCACGTAGACAGCAAAGCTTGCCAAGGAGACCTAGGACAGATATCAGGGAAAGCCACCATCAGTGTGTTTGTGTGCAGCCCAGACCCTCACACTGCCCCAAGGCCTCAGCAGTGCTTTTGTGCTGGAGACCTGTTCCCATCCTGCTTCTGTTCTCCTTTGGGCCTCATCTCACCACCCCAATGGGACCCTTTTTCACCATAGCTCTCCTGCCAGCAGCCAGAACCATAATCTATATCCCAAGCATCCACCAGCCAGCCCTCTCCTCGCTACAGAAACTCCAGCTGAGGTTCCAAATATTTCCCATCCCCTTGGATATAGCCCAGCCCCAGCTCAGAGGAAGGTACACCCCTCTCCAGGGCTGTTATCACTCACCAGGAATGGGGCACATGTGAACACAAAGACAGAGACTGACTGCAGATAACCGAAGTTCACCAAGTTCTTGAGCTCATGTGCCCGGATGTCAATAATTCGCTTCTCAAAGGAGGGCTCCCAGGCAAAAAGCTTCAGGATCTGCAGGATGAGCAGGGTGAGCAGATGCTGGCCTTACAGGAATGCTCACCTCCACACTCAGCTCACTGGTGGCCAGCACCTCCATCACCAGCTCCTGGCTTGCTCAGAAGCCTGATTGGCCACTGCATCTCCCCTCTCCTGTGCTGCTTATAGCATTTCCACACTGCACTCCCACTCCCTCAGTCTCAGCTGGTCATTGCCAGCCCCTCTGCCACCATGCCACTACCATAGCCATCCAGGAAACACTCAGAAAACTCTCCCATGGCTCCCAAGTCTTATTCCAAGTATCCAGAGCTCCTCCCCAGCCAACTTTTGAAAAGATGAGGCAGCCAAGGGAATTGCAGAGATCCAGATAAAGGGCACTCAAGCTAGACTACCACTAGCGCTGTAGGGTTATACAGGTGTGCTGCCTCCAGGTACAGTGCACCACGGAGAGGGGTGAAGCAGCTGCCCAGAGAGTCTCCACTCTACTGCTCACCTTGATTCCATTGAGGATTTCAGTCATTATTTTCATGCGTTCATCCTTGTGCTTCATGTTCTTCTCCTACAAACAGAAGAGACAGACATCAACTAAAACAGACATCAACAGCAGCTCACCCTTGGAAATACATCTGGGCTGCCACAGGGAAGAGAAGGATAGGCTCCACAGCCCAGAGAAGTCATCCCACTAAGTTGAGCCTTGGCTCCCTGTGGCCCTGGACAAGGTGGGGGAAAACACCACTCTGCTGTCAGGTAGAAGCTAAAGCTTTATCCTATGGTTGGCAGTATCTCATTTTTAGCCCTCAAGGCTGTGCCCAGTCTGGTTCAACTTCAGCTATGATGGTAGAACAGATCTCACCTGTCTCCTACTCATGGCAGCTGATCACCTCTGGCTCAGGCTAGAGACACCTCAAGCCCAAGTGAGATCAGCTTCCTAGGCTGGGAAAGATCCACGGCATAGAAGCAGAGTAGGGAGTGTGGAAAATGAGGGAGGGGAGCAACAGTGGAGTTGGATGTGGGAGACCAGGGAAGATATTGCACCCACTACTGACCTGAATGGTTTTGGCCTTGGCAACCAGGATCGCATTTATGGGGAGGAGCAGCACCATGGTTGCAATGCCAGCCAAGACAGAGGGGCCCAACTCTGCCCAGAGGAAGACAATGGACAGGATAATTTGCAGGGGAGATGACCACAATTGGTGAATAAAGTTGGCGGCGTCCATGAACCTCTGGGCATCAGCTGACATCAGATTCACAGTCTCTCCCACCGTGGACTCCTTGCGGGTGGCTCCGGACATGGTGAGCGACTGGAAAGAGAAAGCACAGTCAGCACAAGCCAGTCTGGGAGCAGCCCTGCTGCCAGCAGCATGGCTCAGAGCAGGCTGAAACCAGTTCTAGGTTTGCTCCTGGTGTCTCTGTACTGGCCACCAGTGCTCTCCTCACTGCCTGGAGCCACTGCATGCTGGGTGCAAAGAAAAGCACCCCTGTGCAGGAATTCTAGTGGCACCTGCCCTAGGTGTTGCACTGCTCTGAAGAGAAACCTCCTTCAGCCTCTGGTAGCTGTCAAACACATGGCTGCAGCACACAGGTCCCAAGCAGAACTAGGGCTTACAGTGTCCTCAGTGCTGGGTGGGTGTCCCCCAGGCTCCCCCTGTGCCTTCTGAGGAGGAAAGTGCTCACACCCCAGGTTGATGGGGCAGGCAACAGACAATTTTATCCACAGCCCAGCTTGGAGAAAGCCAACAGGGATGATGACAGGACCATGCAGACCTTCTTGTAGATGGCAGCGATGAGACTGGCTCGCACATTTATGCCAAGTTGGAAGCACAAGCTGAAGTGCTGCTGCAGGCAGAGGGACTGAAGCACCGCCGCCAGGAAGAGCAGGATGGCGTATAAATAACCTTGCCAGGCAAAGGCATCCTCATCTGACACAAAGGCAATCAGCAGCCTGGCGGGGAAAGAAGCTCAATGAAGCACACACCCTACTGAGACAGACACAAGCAGGATGCTCCACGCGAATGCAGGGAGAGCATCTTCACAAGAGTGGTGAGCAAAACCCTGCCCCAGAGAGCTGGCTCAATGGTCAGCAAGCCGGGAACCCTGTTCTGCCAGAGACACCGTAGTGGGTGACTAATGTAAGATCATCCAGAGAGACTGTGCTACTCTGCAAAACAAAGTGGGTAGGCCCTGCTGGGCTGAGCTGCACTCACTTCTGGAGGGCCCCAAAGAAGAGCCAGACTGTCTCCGGGGAGGGAGCAGGACTGCATAGCAGGACGCAAGGGAGCAAGATATTACACATATGAGCTGCCAGCCATATCAGCCAGATCAGTTCTTTGTTAAACTGTATCCCAACACATTCTCCCATTTTTGGTGAGGGCACAAAATGTTCCCAGGGTCTGTGGCCTGGGAGAGGCACACATATGGAAATGGTGGGGCTGGATACAGTGCCCACACTGGGAAGTGGTGGGTCTGGGTGCAAAGTCGGGACAGAGAGAAAGAACTCACTTCAGCAGCTGGGGACTGACAAACACAAGTGCATCATGCACCAACTTGAATGCCACCGCTAGCAGGAGATTCTGCTGGAAGGTCTTGGCCAGGGTTTTCAACAACCAGCCCCTGGGGTAATCCTTGGGAGGGCCTGAGTCCTCGTTGTCTCCCTTCTTCTTCTTCTTTTTCTTTGGCTGTTTCTCCTCCTAGAGGGAAGCCCACATAGAAGTGAGGGAGCTGGTTGTGCAAGTGTCCTGCATCTGGAAAGATGCTTCAGGTCAGCACCTCACAGACCCCAGATCAGGTATCCTGAATGAAGCCTTAGTTTCAGCTTCTGTCACATTCCCTTTCACGGATCTCTGCTTATGTCATACACACCCAGGACTAGCACCACGTCTTTTGCACTAAAGACAATTGTTAAAAGCCAAAGCAGTTTGAACCTCTCAGGCCAAAAATCAGGCAAAAATCATGAAGAATCTGAGGCCGGGGTGGTCACAGAATTATGTTCACTCTGATCTTGTTGCTGGAAAGTATATAAGGTAGACAGACATAAGGGAACTGCTTGTATTGCAGATTTGAGGGTGGTTCCTGTCTTTATGTAAGGCAGAGAGATAGAGACTTTCTTGGTCTCTCAGTATATGGGGATCTGCCAAGGACACGACAGGAAGACCCTGTCATGGGCTCCCCTATCGTTGCCCATGGTCCTGCAAGATCAAAGAAAGGAAAACCAAGCAAAGAGGGCGGCAGGGAGGTGAGGTGACCCTACTGCCTGAGGCTGGACCTGGATGTCTGTCTCATACAAGGCCAAGTAGAAATGGATTTACCAGCACCAGGATGTCTTGGCTCTGGGCCTTGCTCATGCTGTTCCCATGGTCTGGGTCACGTGCCCGGCGTCTCTTCTTGCGTTCCCGTTTCTCCAGTTCTGCTCTGGCCTTCTTCATTGCAGTCTTCATGTTCTTCTCAAAAGCAGTATAAAGAGCCTTTGTCTTGTCTTTATCTTTCAGTTCCCAGACATCCTCTATCTCTAAAGGCTTGCGATAGCCCTTGAAAACCATGCTGTGGGACAGAGACATCCCAAGATACTTGTTGGAGACTCCTTGCTGCAAATGCAGAGCCTTCACACCCATCCTGGCCCCAGGCTCAGATTGCACAGGCTGTACCCCCATGTGGTGTCTCTCCCAGCTAACTCCAAGCAGCCTGTGCTGCAGGTTCTCCCACATTTCGCCAGCTTGACCTCCCTCAGAGCCCTGCTCACCTGCTGTACCATTCAAAAGTGATGGAGCTCAGGAAGGAGGCTGTCACCTCTGGGTTCTATGGTACAAAGCAAAGGGGGTACTGAGAGATTGTTTATGCTGGGGGATGGTTTTGACAAAAACTGATTTAGCACCCCCAGCCATTAAGGAGCCTCATAGGTTTTAAACCATGCCAGCTCCAGAAATATCAGCTCAGAGCCAACAGCAGCCCACCCGGGACACACATGCAGATGGCCCATGCTGCAGGCTCCAGCTCTTGCTGGGCCCTGTGCTGAAGTCCTCAGGTCTTCCCAAGGAGTCTGGAGCTTGCAGGGAGCCTGTCCTGCCCCACACAATGCTCAGTATGTAGTGTCCCAAACCCACTCCCATGTAGTCCTCGCACCTTCTTCCCAATTTCCTTTGTTTCTGGGGCAATATCTGAGAAGCCTGAGACAAGGAAGAGCAGCAGCTGGAGTCCGTAGGAGATGAAGAAAAGGATAAACCGTGGCAGGTCAGAGATTGGTTCCTGCAGAAATGGAAAGCCCAGGGTTATTGCTCGGGGTTGTCTCCAAGGCCCCTGGTACTCCAAGATCCATCCCCTGGCTGAGACAAACAGCATTGCAAAACTTGCTCTGAGTCCTGGATCAGCTTCTCTTTGTCACCTCTCCCTGCTTCTCCATTACCTCCTTCCATAAGTGTTTAAGGGAAAAAAATAGTCCTGGAGAGTTTATACTTCCCCAAAGAGACAGGATGAATTCAAACAGCAATTCCTTCTCAGGTATTTTCTGGTTCCCCAAGGTCCCCAGGGCAGCTGGGACCTCAGTGATAACACAGAGAGCTTGTCAAGAGAAGAGTATGAAGAAGTTTTGGGAACAGAATAAGACCATGGGGAAGCAGAGAGCTTCCTGTCAAACCCAACCTGCACGGCTTTCCGGACGAGTGACTGGAATGGCAGTATCCCACAGAGAAGGGACAGTGTCCAGAAGCAGAAAAGCGACCCCGAATCTCTGCGCAAGCAGAAGCGTCGTGCATCATGGATCAGCAGGACCATGATCTGGGGGAAAGAAAATCAGTCAGAGCTGCCTGACTAGGTCTGGCTCTAAAAGTGCCTTTGGAACATGTGTCCTGGGATGCCAGCACACATGATCTGCTGGGATTCACTGCCTTGAATACCCTGAACACACTACCGACCCTTCATAAGCTTCAGAATTAATTATACAGGACAAAGGTTTACTTCAGGAAAACACAAGATCAGGTTTGAATGTACCCTGACATTACAGCAGGGCACTGTTACTCTTTCTAGCTGTTCTCACTCTAGAATTTCAGACATATCAAGCCGTGAGGGGTCACACACTGGCTCCTGCACCTTGCCTCCAGCCCTGGAACTGAACCCAGATTATGTTCCAGCAGCGCAGCCTCTCTAGGCAATCCCCCTTATCATCTCACATGGACTCTGCATGTGAAACTAAATGACATGACAAAATAAGAAAGAAGGCAAATGAAGCCACTATTTTGCTTTTAAATGTAGCTCCTGAGCATTTGTTAAGACTGTTAGAATACCCCACCACACAAGATGTCTGTAACTTCCATGCACATATTCCATCAAGATAATAGCCACTAAAGTCCTCTTTAGTCAACTTTCTCCTCTGCCTGGGCATCTCCTGGTACTTCCTGTCTCTGCACAAAACTAAGCAGCAACATACAGAAAGCTGTGAGACATCAGAGCAGCAAACCATGGTCTGATGTTCACACTGCAAAATCAGTCCTGTGAAACCCATACTCAGCTCAGCTACACTTGCAGGCACAGAATCATCCCAGTTTAAAGGATAACAGCAGTGAGCACTGTACAACCAGTCCCCTGCCTTCAACATATCACCCTCATGGACCACCCACACAGGTTTGGGGCTAGTTCTACCCAATTTTCAGGCTACCCTTCCCCGGTGGACACAGCTTCCCACTGATCTCTGTGCTAGGGAAGCCTTGTGCTGCTTGATGTTGCAGTCTCACCCTGTCCCTGGAGACACACAGCACATTGACAGCTGAGCCCTTACCCAGGTGGCGATGTACAGGCTGGGGTTTGTGTACAGGACAGCTGGCACACCACCCTGCTCATCATTCTCTACAAATGCCAGGGCCAACTCTGCCACTGCCGCCAGCACCAGCAGAGCAGCCAGCACCTGTGGGGAGAGAGGGACAGCCCATTGTGGACACTGAGAACCACTAGGAGACAACAGAGTTCGGCATAAAATACACCCATACATCCTTACACCCTGTTAAACAGACCCGGCCTGGGAGACTTTGCAACCAACATCTCAGTCTGCTCCAGCCTGTCATCTGTGCCCCCTCAGCTCCACTCTACCTGTTTGATGATGAAGAGTTTGGTCACGGAGGATTTCTTGGCTTTGGATTTGCACATGGGCAGGAGCTGCCATGGGGCCAAAATCCAGAAGAAGCCAAGAGGGATCCAGACCACCACAGTCTGCTGGAAGCACACAGGCAGGTCGGCATCCGGACGGGCAAGGTAGGAATCATTCTGGGGGCAGCAAGGACAGAACACCAAGTCACTTGCGATGGCTCAACTCTCACTTGGCACACAGGACAAGAGCCAACACTCCTATAGGAGCTGACTACCGAGCTCCACCCCATTGCATCCCCCCTTCAACACCCACTCTCCTGGATGAGCATTTCAGCACTCAGCCAAGGTCCAAGAAATACCCCATCCCCATTTCTCTGCCTGAATGTGGGATGGCCATCCCTTGCTGGAGCCAAGCCAGCAGAAGCAGTGAAGCCAAATCATTCCCCAGAAGTCCTTACAGGGTGTCCTGTGTTCCCAGGTGAGCTAAAACAGGACAGAGCTCGGTCAGACAGGTGTCACTGCCTTACTGTCTGGTGAACACGATGCAGGCAGTGCAAAGCACTTGATGCCATGGCACTCCTGGATAAACCCCAGAACCTCTGCCCACCACTGGCAGCTGTGAGCTTTGGAATCCACTGTCCTCCCCCCACACAGGGTGCCCTACGCCAAGAACAGCAATGGGGATGATCCAGCCACTCACCCAGAAGATGGAGCCGCAGAACTTCTCCAGGGCTGCTGACATAGCTCCGGGGAGAAGAAACAGCAGCTCCTTCCTCTCGCTCTGGCCAGCTGAGAGATCTGGGCAGATGCTTGGGATAAAAGTCCCCCCACACCCTCAAGCGGTCTTGGGACAAAATCCCTGATGACACACAGTTATTTATTAACTCAGTGCTATTGCACAACCCCACAAATCAAAGTAGTGAAAAAGGGCTTGGGAAGCTGCATAGGCTCAGGAGAAGGGAAGAGAGGAAGACCCAAGAGGTCAAAGGGGAGATAAAGGGAAGACACAGAGTCAATGCAGGACACCACAATCATTGCTCAGAAACCATAGCCTTGATCAATGCACACCAACCAACACAAACTCGTCTGGACCTGCTAAAGACATTACTTTGATGCAACAGACCTCTCCGGTGAGAAGCCTGCTGAATGCCAACAAAACGTCCAGCAATGGCTGGTCCCACAGTGGCTGGTGCCACCTGGCAAGGGGACCCATGACACCAGCAGTGCCCCAGGCCTGGGAATCTGCAGTGTCTTGCAGCTGAGTGACCATATGCTGCACTGGTCTTTCTGAGTCCTCAGGATCCAGGTTCCTTTTACTGATTTCTAGCCTGAAGATTTTCCAAACTCCTTCTTTTGGTTCTTTTTTTCCCACATTTTCACGTTGTCTGTGTGTTATGGCAGTTGGCTGACAAAACCCCAAAGAGACTTTGAATCTCCATTCTAAGGTAACCCCCAACATCTGAGAAAAGAAAGAGGGTGACTCCTGAGGAGAGTGTCTGCCACTGAACCCTTTTGCTTAGAAAGGCCTAGGTGTGACAGGGACACTTGGGGATGGTGCTACTAAGGCTGGAACTGGATTTGCTTTATCATGTGTGCTCTTGAGGAACGGTAAATAAAAGGAGACAGTAGAGTGACTGCAATAATTGTGTTGTCTTATTGTACACAGAGTTACAAGATAACTCAGAAGTCAAGGGTGACATAATGAGTAATTGCTCAGGAACCATCAGTATCAAAGAAAGGCTCAATGTCCAACTCAGAAGTTAATTATTAGCAGTTTGTCTGATTAAATACACATGTTTTTTTAAAATAAAACTATCCCTAGTGCTAGGTCCTCCAGACCAGAACCAATACACTGCTCATGAGAGCTGTAAACCAATGCCATGAGTAAGATGTGAATGGAGCAGACACTCAGCCCTTCTCCATCTGGACTGCTGATGTGATTTTTCCTGATACTGGCACAGGTGTCCTCTGCTTTGCTCAAAACCCCTTGGAGCACTGCTGCCAAGGGGGCCACCTACTTATGACACCTTTTGTTATAGTTTTGATGCCCCATCCCATTGCTTGTCTCAGTTTTTAGTACATTTTAGCTCATCCTCACCCTGTCTTTGGTCTCTCACTCAGAGTTGAATCGTTGCCCTCAGCACAGGACTTCACTCTCTTTGATGTTCAAAGCAAGCACAACCAACTTTCTCTACCCTCACAGCTAGGGCATGCTCCTCCTAAAAACCCACAAAGCTTTATTGTCCTTCAGCTCCTTCCATAAATCTTCCTCCACTAAAATACCCAGAAGACATTAACTGGGACCAAGATAATCGAAGTAGTAGCACCTCTTTGGCCAGCAATATAATTTTCCCTGTGCTCCCCTTTACCTATCTGTCTTTATCCATCTGTTTACAGCATTTTATAACTTTTCAAAATTAGGCATTGATTCATACCTGTCTCAGACCTGACAGGGTCTGGTCCAGAGGTCTCTGCCAAGCAATCGACCAAATTCCTCCAGCTCTCACTGCTCATCTCTTCTCTCAAGGGTTTGTTTCTCTGCCTTGTCACGCTCTTTATCCCAAGTCCAAAAACCTGAGGCAGCTGGGTCAGCAGAATATTCATCTAAATTGAGCTACCAGTATCATAATCAGGACCATGACTCATGAAATCTCAACATGAACATGAAGCCATGAACTCTTAAAGCAGGTATTCTAAACTATATTGACTACAACTACAAATTTAATCACTCTTTCCAAGTCTGGATCCTTCCTACGGCCTACACATCTGTCAGTGCTGAAGCAGGCTCTGACACCAGCACCATGTAGTCATTCCCATCCCAGCTCCTCTGTTAAGAACTTAAGTTCCCAAGGCCTTTTAGGAAACACCAATACCTCTGATGGATCCATGTGAAAATGTACCCTTTAAACCAAAAATACGGAGTCTTGGTGATAGGTTTTCAATAACGTGATTCTATCTAAGGTGACAATGGTGCTGCCACGTTGTCAAGTATCACGTTTTTTTCATACATCCTCACAGGCTGTAAGCTAGTGCCAAAATGGGAAGAGAAATCTGTACCCTGCCTTTGCTTCTTGAGGTCCACTATCTCGGCTGTCAGAGGGATTCTCTCCAGCTTTGTGATGTTTTACAGAAAAGTAGGCAACAAGGATAAAAGTGATTTACCTCTAGGTCTCTACTCTTCTAATGCACCAGTCTGATGCTATTCAAATCTTTCACTGGGTATTTTATAGAGAAACTAAAATGAGTCTGAGGCTTCAATCCTGACTAGGCAGCAATGACCCAACAGGCACATTCCTCACTTGTCTGGAAAAGAAGCAGTTTACACTTCAGGTTGGGACAAGGACCTGGAAACTCCCTTAGGAAAAGCAGGTTGTCCTCTCAAGAAATCTCATCATACCCCAACCCCACCTCGAGCACTGACGGCCCACAGCCCAGGATGTCTCACAGCTTTCTCACCCAATCAGTCGGGTGCTTTTCACTACTTACAGCTGCTGCACTGCTAATGCCCACCTATCCTACTGGCTGACCACAGCAGGCCTTGTTTCCCAGCTGTGGGTGTGATGTTTCCCACCCTGGCATTCTGGATGAGATTGTATTCTCTGGCAGAGCAGGGTCCTGATTAATTCAGGCTATGCAACATGGGTCATGGTCTCACCTGAAAACATAAATAAACTCTAGAAAAGCACAGCAAGAGGGGGGCAGCTGCAGTGTTTATTTGACAATCACATGCAGTGCTAACACAATTCAGTCCCCCTACTTGCTCACCTCCCTTCCACCCAAATGCTGCCGAACAGTTGTTGCTGCAACATCTGGGAATGAGTCCTTTTATTTAAAATGGCCAACATAAGTTTCCAGGCCAGGGACTTCAGGGGAAGCCAAGGGAAGAGGTGTCAGGCTTCATCACCTAGTGCACATCCTCTGCAGCCTGAGGACGGAAGCAGCACCCATCTGTCCATGTACCAGGGCAGACCCTGGAGTCTCAGCGTTCTTGTCCCAGCATGGTGCCATCCCTACAGAATGTTCTTGGCAATCGCGTTCAGGGTCCTCACTTTGGCCACATCTGCCACCTTTATGGAGTACTCAGGGGCAGAGAAGGACGCTCCCATGGCAACATTTGGATTTCTGTCAGGAAAACCAGGGATTAGTGGCGATCTGCTCATGATACAGATGAATAAAAAAAACCACCCCTGTATTTCCCCTAGCTTCAGCATTGGCCCAAGATGGTGCCAAAGATGTGACAGTAATAGAAAGAACAAGAACCCGAAGGAGTGCAGACCTATGGACAAATATAACCCATTCCTCACTCATTTCTCAGAAGCACTAGCTTCTGAAATCCTACGTGATTATGTTAAAAGTTTAAGGCAACTACACCACAACCTGCCTTTACAGGTGCCCCCAAAACTCCTAGGGCGGCAGTAGCAAGAGAAATGTCCCAAGGATCTGGTTCTGCATGGAACTCATGTCCACGTGAAGAGCACTGCTGGATTCATACAGCAGAATACAGTGTCAGGCACCATGATCCCAAGCATAAAAGCACAGCTAGCACTCAGGAAGCTGTTTGAAAATTACACCAGTTCTACAAACTCACGTTCACATTTATCTAACCTTTCCCTCATAGCTTTCTGCTAAAAAATAAACATAAATAATCAGTTACCTGAACTTCATCCCTGAGTCCCGAGCTGAGCGAGCAGAGCAGTGAAACTCAGAAGCAGTGGAGCCTTCCAGAATCCTCTGCAGGTTGCGCTCCGTGATGCCACCTCCTGGTGGGAACAAACCCGATGTCACACGCTGAGCAGACGACACTATTCCAGACCTGACATCACCCCGGGGCCTCACCACTAAGGGACAGGAGCCGTATACACTGAAGGGAAAAAACACCCCTTGGGACAACACAGGCCTAGGCACAAGAAAAGGGATGGGAGAAGCCTCGGCTCATGTTTTCCCACAGATCTAGAGCTGTCCCCAAATCCTGCAGGGAGCAATAGCTGCAGGGCTTGGTCCTTCCCAACAGGCTGCACGGCCTTTACTCACACCAGGACAGGAGCTGCTCCTCCTGGGCAGCTGGCTCAGAAAGCCAGATCAGAGAGTGGATTCCAGGGAAAGAGGCTAGCAAGGAAGGGCTAGGGATTGCACGACTTGGTACAAATGACAAAAAAAATTACCTGGCACCACCACAATTCTGCCCTTTGCCTGAAAGAAGAGTAACATACATGTCAGTGATATTATCGAGGACAAGTGCATTTGTGAGGCAGCAAAGAAACCTCACATGCAGCACTTTCCATAAGCTCATGGATGTCACCATGATTAACAATCTGTGCATTCTCACCCATCTCTTTTTTACTATTCACGTTTTAAAATGAAAAGTGGAAAAGAACTTGCAGTTACAGCTAAGACAACCTGTCACCATTCCCTCCTACCTCTCCATCCCACCTCGCTACCTCTCAGGTACAGCTGTTGCACATTCCTAAAAGGAATTGTGAGACACTCAGCAGGGACCTCACTCTGCTGTTTATGTGGGCTCATCAGGCCAGCTGTTAAAACCAACTCCCATCACCCTCCCCGAATCTGCAAGCAAGAACCCAACCAGTTTTTGTTGTGGGAAACTTTGGGGCCCAGCCTACATGGACTTGGGGAAATAAATTAAAGCCAAGCACTCCTTGACAGAAGTCCCTTTCAGAAATGAGGAATACCATAAAGCAGCTGCCTGCAGGCAGTGCCAGGGAGCAGCCACAGTAACCCAGGGGAGCACAGCAAACACTCACCTGTTCTGCAAGCCTCTTAATCAAGGACAATCCTTCCAGTGCTGAGCTGTCACAGCCACTCGTCAACACCCGCTCAAACCCCAGGGAAATCAGGGTCTCCAGTGCCACCAGAGGGTCATGCACCATGTCAAAGGCTGGGGGACCAGAACAACAGCTCAGAAGTCACTCAGTTCATTGTGCTCAAGCCCTGTCCCTCAGACAGCTGCCCCGAAGGCAGCAATAGGAAGGGTCCTGCTCACACCCTGGATTCACAGCTCCTGACTGTAAAACTCTGACTGCAGCAGTGCCAGGGCCACCATACTCAGCTCCTCAGACACCTCCTCTCTCACAGGGTAATGAGATAGATCCCAAACCTGATTCCCCTGGACCTTTTCCCTTATGGAGAACAGCACAGCCTGCAGAGCCTTCCCCCTCCAAAGAATGACCAGAGAAGCTCAGCTCCCTCCCAGCCCCACCTTCCCCCAGCAGTGGGACACAGACTGGACCCTGCCCAGGGCCACTGTCCCTGGAAACTCACCGCGGTGAAATGTGACTGGCAGGGGACGGCACACGGCTGCAAAAAGAAGACACAGGGTCAGTCAGGGCTGCTACAGACTCCCTTGTGCTAGAACCAGAAACATACACGACATGGAAGAAGGCAAAGGCTTCTCAAGCCATTCCTGGAGAACTCAGAAGAATCCCCATTCTTGCTGGGAACAATGCTGTTTATCCAGGCTTTTTTGAGGAGAAGTGTTCTGCCCTTTGAGAAAGCAATAAACCTTTGTTTTTACGGGTAACACCAAAATCCCCCATCTCATCTGGAACATTCAGAACCCTCATTCCCACCAGAGATGGCTTTCTCGGCAGGAAGGAAGCAGGGAAGTTGTATCATCTACCTGGGGAAAGGACAGGACCATTGCTCTTTCGAAGCAGGAAAGCTGATTTTTGTGGATTTCTTTCACTACCTACAATTTCTGCTCTCAGGCTACACCAAACTTCACCAGAGGTGCTCTATTTATTGAGCAAAGCTTATTTATTTCTACAAAAATATA